GACTCACAGCGACCCTATAGGACAGGATAGAACTGCCCCATAAGGTTTCCAAGCAGTAGCTGCTGGATTCAAACTACCAACCTTTTGGTTAGCAGCCTAGCTCTTAACCACTGCGCCACTTAGATCAGTAGTCAATCACAAATCATTTGTGCAACCCAGGGACAAACTAGAGTGAGGGCTCAAGCACCTGTATATTTTCAAAGCTCTGCAGGTGATTCTACTGTGTAGCCAAGATTAAGAACTACTGAGTTAACCTAGTCAACAAAGCTCATACAGCAAAAGAAATCAAGGAAAGCCAACGCCAACAGAAGACTCAATTCACTATTTTATTATTATTATTTTAACAGATGTTTTATTGTAATTACCATATGGAATAATCTTGTCCATCTGTCCCACCTCTTCAAGAAATCCTCTGGTACAGAGTATATTTTGTAAAGGTTTTACTGACCATTCCGAAGGCTTGACTGAGGACTGGAATCACATAATGGCTAATCTGTATAAACTTAACAAAGACCTTGTTCTGAGAGGTTTGTACAGGAGCAAGTCAGCAACACCATAACTAGAGCCAGCATTGGTAGGAAATCTGACACAGCAATTAACATTTTCCACTGCAGCAAAACAGGGATTGTTCTTGGCTCCCATCTTAATTTGTTTTTAAATGATTTAAAGACCAGAATCAATTTACACCCAAATAATAAGGTTTTGTTTTCTCAATTGAGAAGCTGCCAGAATAGATTCCTTGGCCCTAATTAAAAAAAAAAAAAAAACCCAAACCCACTGCTGTCGAGTCAATTTCAACTCATAGCAACCCTATAGACAGAGTTGAACTGCCCCACAGGGTTTTGAAGGGGCGCCTAGTGGATTCAAACTGCCGACCTTTTGGTTAGCCGCCGTAGCAATTAACCACTACACCACCAGGGTTTGGCCCGTATTACTAACAGAAAAAAAAAGTTAGAAATCAACTATTTTAAAATGAAGGAGATTATTTTTGATAAATGTCCCCAAGTTTTAAAAGATCTGTGATAAATGGTCCAGTACAACAAATTACCTGATTTAGATGCCTGGGTGACCATTTTACAAAAGGTTTATCTTAAAAGTACACCAAGAAATACCGTTCTCAAAGCTAGGTTTCTATGAGTGCTTTCTTGTAATTTTATGTATGTGGAGTAGAACTTTGGGGCCTTAATTGCCTAAAACCATTTTCTAAACAGTCTTGACCATATCTTTAGGAGCTTCCTCTTTTCCTCAAAATGGGATGTTTTCCATGAGACGTGCATCCTTCTTGGACTCAATTTTTACAAAAAGACTTTAATCCCACACACTGCTTGATTGTTTATTAAGATGGATTGGTCTTCACTCAACTGGCAACATCAGACAGCTGCACTTCAGAGTCTTGTGAATATAGTATTGAACTCCCTGACAATCAACATTAACCAAAATCAATATTAATTAATTGATATACATATTATTCAAAGAGATTTGCATGAATGGCCTGAGGGTACACAGTGCACCCACCTCCAAATGTTCTAAAAATCTCTCTGAATCATACCAGTTCAGCAGAAAACGAGGGACCTAATTCATATCATATTGGGCCTCTTAGAAATGCATTTACTGAATTGTACATCATCATGTTGCCTTTTGAGAATCATTATAAGAAACGTGAATGAACTTGTCATTGCAATTATCATAATGATAGAGCCAACACTGGGAAGCACTTTAGAGTTATTGTATTTAATCCTCACACCAAACATATTGCCCTCATTTTACAGATGAGGAAACCGAAACAAAGAGGGAATAAATGACTTGCTCCTGGTCACACAGCTACTAAGTGGCAGAGCCAGTTTTTAAACCCAGGTCTCAGACTCCAAAGCTGTGTCTAGACCCCTCCCAGGTGTATAGATGTGGTCAAGAATTTTTCTCTCAGTCTCACCCCATGGTCCTTTTTTGAAGATCCTGGGAGATTAGAAAGTATAACTAAGTATAACTGGTAGAACTTTCTAGCTGTATTAGCAACCAAGATTAGTTATACTTCTCCTGAACAATTAGTTTTTGTTAATTTTATGGGCCTTGTGAATTGTATAGCTAACCAGGTATCCCTTCAAGCTGTTTAGTTCACCCAGCCGAAGTATGTAGATCACTGTGGAATTCATATCTATTCTCCTTCTTGGATCTACTTTGTCACTTTTTTTGCTTTATTTCTCTCCACTTTAAATTAAAACTATTGCACATAATCGGCCTTAAATCCTTTCTCCCACAAAGTAAGGATATAAGTAAATAAACAGAAGCATGGAGGGGAGGAGAGAGCTCAGAGACCCCTAATGAGGGAAGCCTATTGAGAACCATGGGAAAGCTGGAAATTACACAATATGCTAATTTATACACAGCACTTTTAATGAAACCGTTTTGAAACTCCAGATTCAAGTCTCTATGATGTTTGATGGCCAGTCAGCTGTTGAAGTCCACCCCAAAACCAGTGTGGATGACATAAAGGCCTTCACATCTCTGAGTCTGTACATGAAACCTCCTGTGAAGCAGCCAGAACAGAGTGGCACTGCGGATCAGTTTATTCTGTATCTCGGAAACAAAAACGTAAGAGCATGCAGTTTTAAAAGGGGGGAATGATGTTAAAAGGGAAGATAGTTGCTTTTTCTCTTTCTTTAAAACAAAGCTCCTTATGCAAACAAACAAAATTCCCATTCTGGTATGTTAAAAAATACAAATCATTTTAATGGCAAGGTTAAATAAATGGTTCAAGGATAAGTGATTCCTTCTTTATGTGAAATATTTCTGGAGTTGCTTCATATCAGCACCACCCTACTAATATTAAGTCAGAATGTACCATTTCAAAGACCCTCAGGACAACAGCTGCCTACCTATGTTTGATGATGTATCCTGTTTGAAGATACATAATCAGTCGCTATCGAGTCAATTCCAACTCATGGTCACTCTATGTGTGACAGAGTAGAATTGCTCCATGATATTTTTAAAGGCTGATTTTTGGGGAGGAGAATGCCAGGCCTTTCTTCTGAGGTGCCTCTGGGTGGACTCCAACCTCCAACTTTTCAGTTAGCAGCCAAGCGCTTTAACTCTTTGCACCACCCAGGGACTCCTGAAGATGCACAGGAATCGGTGTTGTCAGGCAGCATTATATCCCTGGGTTAATCCCTGTCAACCACCTAATTCCCACAATCCTGCAGTTGCTTAGGTCCAGGGTGCGCATTAGAGCAAAGAGAGGAGGCAGCAGATGCTGATACAGCCACATTGAGGCTGTAGAGAAAGATCCACAGTCCAAACAGGAATTT